GTGATTTCTGGGGAACAGTGATCAGTAGTAGAGTGCAGTTGTTCGGCTACACCTGTGTTTGATCTGTTTGGGCTGAAATGCTGTTTGTTGTCTCTTTCAGTTCGGACAGCTGGTACAGAATAGCTAGTACTCCCTCAAGGAGCATGTTCCTTTGAGTCATTAACATGATAAGGGACATGATTGGTGCATATATGGCTTGAATTGCACTGCCATGCAAAGTCCTGTCCTCTGCTGCTGTCAAACAGGTTCTGCAGGCACTTTCTGCCGATCGACTGCATGGAGTGCCGACCGGCAACCCATTGATGACCGATGGATGCATTCACAACCAGTGATCACATACCACCGCCGGTGGCCATTCTACTCAGTCGGTGGTGTCTCCCAATGTCCAGGGAAGCAAACTTGAGACTTTGGCAGCCTTCAGAGGAGTATAGCAGGGAAAACAGAGGCAGCTTGCGCATGGCAGTGCACTTCCGAGCAGGACCGAGCACGCGCGCATCGAACCCTCTCCCCGAGGCCCCTGTTATTGCTTTTCTTATCCTTAGTTAATTTGTTAATTAATTAGGTGATTTGTAATAATTAATTAGCTAGTAGGTTAATTATCTGTAATATTTATTTGGTCCCTCCGAGCGAGGGTGAATCTGTAATAAGTGTGGGTGAGTGTGTGCATGTTTTTCAACCCCCACTTCTTTCTCCCTTTTACTTACCTGCTTTGATGGTTAGTAATAGGTCATATTTAAATTAGCATACCTTATGCTATGCATGCGTGCATTCATACATTTGTCTTGCATGCACCGGGCTTGGCGCATCATGCTATCTGCATTTGTACTTTAATTCCAAATTGAATACGTGCATCAATTGGTCGCATTTCACATGCCATGTTTAGGTTAGCCGAGCCTACTCTAATTGCATCCTGTATGTGTTGCATTAGTCAAATTGACATGAACTAGGACCATGCATGTTGGCTAACTAGTTTATTGTTTTGGCACGGAGTACGATGTAAGTATTTATGCTTTAGCATCTCACATGAGTGTGAATGCTATCATGACAGCATGCTTACCATGTGGCTAAATGCTTATGTGATAAATTGTTTGAATGCCTGTGGGTGAAGGTTGGATTGTCTGAGTTGGAAAAACTCGTTTGAATCTGTATTTTAACCTACTTGCAAGTAGCAAATTTCAAAGTGTTTTTCAAAACAAACGGATATGCAATGCTTATTTCCAAATTAGGCAATCTAGTCTATACTTGTTTGCTGTGCGCATAACATAGTAATTCTAGGCTAATAGCTGGAATAAGAACACATAACATTTTCAAAAACGGATATCACGGTTAGTAGAGGCCGATCTTCGGATCGGGCAAGAGGGGGTGCTCATAGCTGACCTTCCCCAATCGTACCCAAGCTCCCGAACCAAGGCAACTTTGGTGATGACGGACACGTGGCCTTTGGCACCGAGTCAGGGTTTCCTAAATTTCCCCATTTTAAAATATTTAGGTGGTGACTCTGTATCTGGCAAAGCAGTCCATGTTTGGCACTTCTTTTCAAAAAATATGTTTCTCAAAACGATTTGCCGGATTTGGACTCTTTGGTTCAGATTAAGAACCGTAACAAAATCGAGTCCGAACTGTAGCGAGGGCCCCTCACGCGGGCGCGTCTACATATACCATCGTTTTATGCATCTGTTCTGCAATTTCATCACTGTTCAGAGGTATGGGCATTTCTGCAAAAGAGATTTACGACTTTATCTCGTTCGCATGTTCATCAATTGAAAAATAAACTGAATAGTGTTGCTAAGAAATCAGATACAATGGAAGAATATTTGTCCAAAATCAAGGTCATAGTTAGTCAATTAGCTTTGGCCTCTGTTATCATTGATGATAAGGATCTGGTCCTCATTACTCTAAATGGTCTTCCTTTAGAGTATGATGTTTTTTCCACCACTGTTCTATCTCAAAAGAAGTATGCTCAGGATATTATTCTTAAAGCTAGTATGTTGGATTGCAAAGCTTGCTCATCTCCCATCTCTGTCAAGCCTGGTCTGCCTGCACATTCAGATGAGCCCTTTGCCAATCCATCTGTCTATAGAAACATAGTTGGAGCCTTACAATATTTGACAATTACTAGACCTGATATCTCATTTGCTGTGAATCAATTATGTCAACATATGTATAATCCCACTGTTGGTCACTATGTTGGTATAAAGAGGTTGCTTAGGTTCATTAAGGGCATCATTTCTCATGGTCTTACCTATAACCCCAGCTCATTTGATCTTCATGCTTATTCCGATTCCAATTGGGCTAGAGATTCTGTTGATAGAAAATCTACCTCAAGGTATTGTGTATTTTTAGGATCCAATCTCATTTCTTGGTCATCTAAAAAACAAGCCACTATCTCTCGATCCTCTACTGAAGCAGAGTACAGATCTTTAGCTCATACAATAGCAAAGCTTGCTTGGCTTGGTATGTTTCTTTAGGATTTTTCCATTGTCCCTCCTATAGTTCCTCTTCTCTAGTGTGACAATGTGTTTGCTATTGCTCTGGCTTCTAACCCTGTTTTCCATCCCAAATCTAAGCATATAGAAGTTGATTACCATTTTGTTCGAGATTGCTAATCAACTTGTATTGTACTGCATTCCTACCATTGATCAGCTGGTAGATATTTTCACTAAACCTTTATCTATCTCTAGATTTTCCTATCTTAAAGACAAGCTCATGTCTCTTTCTCCCTCCATCAGCTTGCAGGGGAATGTTGAAGATACACCACCAGCTAACTTAGCTACTAGCTCAGCTAGCCTAGGTTGCAGTCGCAACTCCAAGCTACAACTCTTACCACAGCTTCAACCTCAGCTATCAGCTAAGACATTTTGAAAAGATATTTTGTACAATTAGTTAGGAGTTAGTTGTAGTGGTTGTTAGTTTGTTAGAGTCATTATATTGTATATAAGTGATGTAGGATTCATGGTGAATGAAAGAGATTTGATTACAAACTTCTTTACAAAAACATATGAAAAACAAAAAGTTCAAAAAGTCAAAAATTATTTTTGAAAATTCAAAACCAAGTAGAGTGATTGGCTCTATGTCAACCCTTTTTGTAATATCTTTTTCATTTTATTCTATTTTTTTTTATTTTATTTTATACTTTCGACTATGGCTACAAGTTCTACAAAATCGTGGTCTAATTTTATGGAGGATGATTTCTTTTGTCCAAAATCTAGATTGGAGGGGCCTGTTTAGGCTTGTGGGGTTCACTATTAGGTCTATTTTCATTGTCCGATCCATTAATTTTGTCAGGCAATTCGTGTATTTCATCTACAAAAAAATTAAATTGATCCGATACTTGTTTAATTTATTACTTTTGTTATAAAAAGCATGTATGATTTATTTTTTTTTAAATATAATTGTCGTATATTTTTTTAGTGAAAAATATAAGAAATACTTAACAAAATGAACAATTCGAATAATCGAAATAGAGTTCGTAATGGATTTCACAAGCCCAAATAACTCCTGCAATCTAAATTTTGAAGTAGATGAATCCTCCTAATCTTATTAGAAAAAAAATTAAGCATGGAGCAACTCCAACCGGCGATCTCTTATCTATTTTAGGGTAAATTACACTTTAACCCTCTGTGGTTTGCCCAAAAAACACGGAGCCTCCCTGTAGTTTCATTTGTAACACTTGAACCCCTAAACTTTATACCAAATTGTCATTTTTGACAGATCCGTTTATTTAACCAGAGAGTGAGATTCACAAGCATAAAAGTGTAAGCAGCACTCTCTCCTGCCAAAAACATTACACTTTTGGACCAAAACGCCCTTTCTCTCTACCCTCATTATATAAATATGCAACAAACAAATTGAGGCCTCTGAAGTTGCCCAGATTATCTCTGGATTTCTTCCTCACTGCATAGCAATACTAGCCTGCAATTCCACACCACCATCCACCCTCCATCTCCTTCTCATTTCCCTTTCCTTATCACTCGCTTCATCCAACAAACCAAGGCGATACCCACTGCACTGCCACACCATTCCCATTCAGCAACACTACATCTAATATATATACACACATCTTCAAAAGCAAATCTCCAAATAAATTTGTCAAATGGATCGAACCCAATTAGGATTAAAGGAAATTATTTTTTTGAATTATTCAATAAAAGTTGCAAATTATAATGCAAAGAAAGTTGGAACTTGAAATAGTTTTTACCTCACAACATCATATTTTTTTAGTTTGAGGTGTTGTATGTAGGTGGCTGCTTCAACTAGGACAGCTATGTCTACTTCCATAAAAAGGAAAAAAAAAAAAAAAGTGAGGAAGAGGGAAAAAAAAAAAAACCCTACTTTAACTAGGACAGCTATGTCTACTTCCATAAAAAGGAAAAAAAAAAGGTGAGGAAGAGGGGAAAAAAAAAAAAAACCCAGTCATGAGTGCTAAAAAAAAAAATTGATGGGATTCATACCAACAAAACCCACTTTATCTTCTCCAAACCGCATGCACAAACAGACCTGAAAATATCAAATTTTCAAATTCAAACACACCACTTCAAGCCCTTATATCTTTTTCATTATAATTTTGGTTTGCCTCATTTTTGCGTTGTTAAATTCACCTCACGGCCTAGTTTTCGTATCACTTCTCACACGCCTTATTCCACTTCTTTTTGCATGCTTTCAGAGCTCTGAAAATTGACCAAAAAGAAGTTTTTTCTTCCCGTTTCCGACATTTCTTCGGCCCATCTTTCGAACTCCATAATTTTCTCGATTCTTAACTGTTTTGCCCTGTTCTTTCACTAATCTCTTTACCTTGCTTTATACTTCATCCTACGTTACCTCGTGTGGGAGCCAAATAATAGGAAACGCAGATAGACCGAGTACACATTTGGCTAATCACTATATATTATACTCACTCCAGTCTCGTACGTTCTGGATGCCGAATAACTTAATCGGCCATAAAGATCAGTTGAGCGAGGGGCCGATTGAAAGTTGAAATACGGCAAAAGGGGGGCCCGAGTGAACAATCACATGACGGGTCAAGAGTGGGCCCTCCCCTGAGGACCAGGAGCGTATATAAATAGAAGAACAACAACCAAAGAGAGGTATGTGAGAATTAGTACATTTTACTTAAGTTACAAGTAACAAAGAGAGCATACACTGACTTGTCCTTCGGAGTGATAATTCCGGCACCCCCCGACCGGAGTGTTCATTCTTTTTAAGGTTTTCAGCTGAGGATCTCAGGGCGTCCCATTGGATCTAAGGAGTATTTCCAAACCACTTCCCCACAATTGGCGCCGTTTGTGGGAATACTCAACTACATCCATGGCGGGCATAACGGAAGATCCTCCGATAGTCACTGACGAAACCACACCGAGAGATGACCTCAATCCAACAAACATGTTGGGACCGAAGAATATCGCCGTAAGCCGTGCCTTGAACTTTGACTCAGTTGCCCATACCTCACCCTCGACTTCAGCACACAAGACCATGCAAGCGATCATGGAATAGGCAAAGCAAAACGAAAAGACGTTGGAAAACATGATCGCTGAGAACGAGCGTCTCCGTCAGGATTTGGCCTTGAAAGTGGCAAAGTCCAAGCAAGCTGTACGCCAAGATCCGGGACGACCTCTGAGGAAAGATGGCCGACGACTTCGAGCCTAAAGACAAGAAAGTGACAGTGATTCTGACTCATTATCCCCAGAACCCAAAAAGAATGAATGAGTCGAAATCACCAGCTTCTTCGAAGAGAGTCCACGTGCACGTCATAAGCGAAGACGAAATGGTTCAGATGAAGAGGACCAACATGACCCCTTTGTGCGATGGATCGCAAAGGTAGTACTATCCAAAAAGTTCAAGGCTCCATCATTCACCCTATATGACGAAAAATCGAATCCCACTGACCACATCCATCATTATAAGCAAGCCATGACGTTGTATGCAGACGACGAGGCTCTTATGTGCCGAATATTTTCAACCAGCTTGGGACCATTAGCCGTCAGATGGTATTACAAGTTGGAACCGACGTCAATTAAGAGCTTCCATCAATTACATAAATCCTTAAGGGCAAGATTCATTACCAATGAGGTCCAGCAGAAGCAAGCCGACTCTCTCTGGGCAATGCAAATCCAACCAGGGGAAACCTTACGAGCGTATTTGGCATGCTATTGGGAATGCTTCAATCTTGTCGATGATGCCTGCAACGACTCCATGGCCATCACCGCCTTCAAAATAGGGTTGCACCCCGATAGTGCCCTCCTCAGTTCCTTGACTAGAAGGCCCCCTAAAACAGTTTGGTCGTTGATGAAGAAAGTCGAGGAATACTGCAAACTAAAAGATGACGCTCTGCGGGTTAAAGCCGGGAATAAGGCCAACAAGACGGCCCCTTCTGAAATTGTTTAGCCGATAAACTCTATACCATCATGGAGCCCTGAATCATGGAGTTGGGCTAAACGAGACAAGAGACGGGATTCGCGCTGAACAAATGACCAATGTTCCCACCGAGCTAGTGAACAACTTCAAGTAGATAGCAGGTGCACAAGGCGTGCGGACAAGAAATATACGGAGTTGTTAGAACCGATTAGCACGGTTATGTCCAAAGTCCAACACCTTCCATTCTTGAAATGACCATCCAAAACGAGGAAACAGGATAGGCAGTGCGAGTATCATAAAGACCACGACCATGATACAGAGAGTTGTTATGCATTGAAGGATCACCTAGAGGAATTGGTACAAGATGGTCGGCTTAAGCAGTACATCCAAAGAGATAACTCGACAAAAGAAGTAGCTTTACGGCAGGATTCACCTCCACTCGGCGTAATCCATATGATATACAGCCTGCCGACATCATCCGCAGTACATACAATTCAGTCGCATCCTGACCCCCAAAAGCAAATCACACCAGCAAAACGACCCCATGAAGTTCCAAACATTATCTTCGACGATTTTGATTTGATCGGCGTAACACTCCCCCAGATTGATCCATTGGTCATCGAACTACGCGTAAATCGATTCACCGTCGAACGCATTCTCATAGACCAGGGGAGTACTTTGGAGGTTATGTATTACAAGACCTTTATCAAGCTCGGGTTCGCCGAGTCGAACCTTTCTCCGGCTCCTTATCCATTGTTCGGCTTCAACGCTAATTTGGAATACCCGTTGGGCAAAATCACACTACCAGTTCGTGCGGGCTCCCGATCAGTGGATGTGGAATTCTTGGTTGTCAAGCTTCCTTCGCCATATAATCTCATTATGGGGTGAACTTGGTTGCATACCTTGCAGGCCGTGCCAAGCACCTATCATCAACTGCTCCGCTTCCCGACAGAGCACGGCATTAAGCAAATCTGTGGTTCCCAGAAATCGGCACAAGCATGCTATCTCCTTGCCGCAAAGACACCAAAAGAGTTCGAAGTAATTCAATTGAGGTGTCGGATCGAGAGGGCCTTGACAATGTTGGGCGACCCCCAAGTGAAAAGGCCACGGAAGCCCTAGATCGAGTTGACATTGACGGGAATCCAAATAGGTTCTTCATGATCGAAGCCTCCCTGAACGAAGCCGATTGGCAGCAGCTAATTTCCTTCTTGCTCAACAACCTTGATGTATTTACGTGGACACCATATGAGATGCCGGGTGTGGATTCGTCTGTTTCGCAGCACCGTTTAAACGTTGGTCAGCCACAAAACACACTGCTGCCGTTGTTGAGGAAGTTGACTGGTTGCTTGATGCCGGGGCAATCCGGGAAGTTACCTATCCTACATGGCTGTCGAACACTGTGGTTGTCAAGAAGAAAAATAAGACTTGGCATATTTGTGTGGATTTAACGGACTTAAATAAAGCTTGTCCTAAGGATTGTTTTCCTCTTCCCAGAATAGACCAACTCGTGG